AGGAGAAGCACACAGATTACTTTGGCTGTTTGATGGGGTTGCTCTGGAATGATTTGCTCTGGGAGTGAACGCCTGATTTACTGGAAGAACACAGCATCAGCAGAATGTGGACATTAGAGAACATGGACTCTGTGTTGCATGGACTCTGTGCTCTTGAATGGGTGCTCACAAATAATCTGAAAAATACACCTGCTTGTGCAAAACAAGTGAAAAAGAACAAATAATCAATCCGCTTTAAAACAAAACAAAACAAAAAAAACCTGGAAAAATGCCTTGGCATAAGCCAGATCTTACGATCTCTGAACAGCTTTTGTCTTCCATGCTGGTCAGTCATCTAGCCTTGGCATTTAAGTTTTTAAAAGACTTCTAGGTATGTTAAGCTTCATTTACTTGATGCTTGGAGCGTGCCTCATTCAAGAGAGACTGTGCTGCAGGATTTGTCATTCTCTTTCAAAGCATGTCGGACCCGCAGTAAGCACATTCATAATCATGCCTGGCTAAATTATTTTGCAGACCCTTTTTCCGTCCTTAGCCAGTACTCCTACCACCATTAGGCAGCTATTTTGCTTGAATAATTGCATTTCTCTGGAATTCTCATTTTCAGAAACAAATTGCTAGAATGCGTGGTAGAGTTCACGCAGATTTATTGTGAAAACGATCAGGTGAAAAATGTACAATAAGATTTAGCAATAAAAGCCATTCCTGTTGCCAGCGGTTGTGTCTTATCAGCTGGGAGTTTGCAACAAGCCGGCCTGATTGACAGAGTAGGGGAGAAAAGCTAAAGCAGAGACTTCTGCTGGAACCGGAGGCTTTACTGTAACAAGGTGACCCCAGCAAAGCAGTAGGCTCAGGGATGCCTACAAGCAGGCTTTTCTACTTTCTTCCCTTGTTTCTGAAAACATTCGCTTAAGTGTTGATTCATTAGAAATCTCATTAATAATTTTCTCTGTTTCTCAGCAAATTATTTTATTAATTAAAAATGCAATTCAAATGTCTGATTTAAACAGAAACCATTTTTAAATGGAAAACTTTTAGGATACCATTCGTTCTAGGAACTTTGATATAATTAAATGATGCAAGGGGAGGTTTTTTTTCTTTATAAGAACAGCAGTGGAACTACTTAGTCTCGTGCAGAATAGCAGTAATGCTATGCAAAAGTTTGGGCCTTACACAAGACGAGTTGTTGGAGATACAAACTGTTAATTCCTTCTGGCTGTGACTGTGACCCAGTGTGATACCGCATGGCTTGAAGCCAGCCCCAAAATCAGAACCTGCAAAGGGCACTTCCCATGCTTAGTGCCTGTTTTTCCCCATATTCAAGGGTACATTGAGGAACCAGGGAATTCAGCTGCAGTTTTAGGATCTCAGTACTTGGGGGGAAATGCAGTGAGACATGTCATGTTCTTTTCTGGGTGGGAATTGGTTGGGGTTCCCTGAAAACCGGTAGTAACAGGTTGCTGCTCTGGCCAGCTGTGTCTTAATGTAGCAGGAGAGGGGAAACCTCCCTTTGTTTCCTTATGGAGGCTTATTTGAGGAGATAAAGCGTTTCTGCAAGGAAGAGCCAACGTTATCTTTTCTGACTTTGTCCTGCTTCCAGAGTCACAACGGAGTGATGAGAGCTATAAACCAGAAGATGCTTCACTTCGCTACAGAGCAGCAAAGGCACCCTTATCAGCTTGAGGCATAGAACAGTGTGGGAGAGTTTGGGTTTGGATGGGAGCTTGAGGTGTCATTGAGCTCCAAGCTCTTTCCGCCCCGGGACAGATCAGCTCAACCCAGACGTGCATTGTTCTGCTACTGAGATAAAAATTAGTTGTTCCCATGAGAAACAGTTGCTTATACGTCCCTCTGATCAGTGATGGGTTTACAGATGACATGGATCGTGGGTTTTTCAGATGTGGCCAGTCCCAGACTTAGAGCTGAAAATATTAATTTGCTCTGAAGTTTGCCAGTGATGGTATTGGTTTATTTTGCTGGTTTTCCCTGGTGGCAAAGCTGGGAAATAGATCTGCCAAGGCATGTTCAGAGCATGCAGGCTGTCACAGTAAAGGCTTTATGGTGGGTTTGTTTATTACAGAAGCTGTGTACCAACAACTAGGTTTTTTTACGTTTTCCTATTTGTATAGAAAACTTCTTATTTCTTCAGACCAGACATACTACCTCAGGTTATTTACTGTGCGTGTATAGAAATCTCAGACTCACCTTGGAATATTTCATTTCTTCAGGGTTTGTTTTTTAAGTAAAAATATGCTGGTTTGAGGAAAAGCACGCCCTGTAATATATTCTGCCTATAACACTTAATGCCCAGAATGGTGCACCAGGAAAAGGGGCATATACTGTCAATGCTGATAGGCCCTGTCTAGCCCTTTTCTTTTTCGCATTGCTACAATTGTCTTTTTCGATTAAAATCAAACATGGACTGAGCAGCCGCATGCTAGGAATCAGTAAGTGGTATTTAAATAGATGCGTATCACGACTCTGAGGCAAGCGGCACAAAAGTCCTCACACCACACAGGCATCCAGCATGGTAGGAAAACGTGAGATGGATATAGGCAGCAGCTCCAGTTCTCCCCTCCTCCTGTGACTGGCACACAGCACCTTGCAGGGCTGAGGGAACGGGTTAGGAGCAAAAGGAAACAGGCTTATCCGATATTGCCTCGTAGTGGAATTAAATGCCTGCCTAGAAGTGTTTCTGACTCTTCATTAGTTAGTGAAGTTTGGAAGTTTCTTATGATGGTGGTCAGTGTTGTGGGACATACAGATAACTGTGAATATCCACCCCTCCTTGTATTTTGGACGTTTGAGCTGTTTGTATATAATCCGTCAGCATCAGCACGTGTTTGGTGGCCAGCTGTGGCACCAGAGTTCATAGTGAATATGGAAATAATGAAGGATTCTGTAAAACATTTTCAGGATAAATATTTTCCATTTTTGTCTTCTGCTATTTGAGAAACAGAGACTGAAGTGCCGTCTTTAAACCTTTTCTTGCTGTATCCTAATGTTTTAAAAGGACTTGTAATTTCGGATCTTGACTTGGAAACAATTTAAAGGCGGCTGATTTTCAGTGGCTGGAAATGCTGCGCTTCCTGACTAATCAGACTCTTTTGACATGTCTTAAATTGGGCACTGAAGGAATGGAGAGACAAGTGCAAGTAGTTGACTTAGGACAGCTCTGTGGCGGTTTAGGCAAAGGTGCCTTAACACATGGCTCTGATATGCTCAAAGTATGCACACAGGGAGTTATCGCGGCTGAGCAGACGAGAGGTAACTGATCGAGGCACAGTTAAGTCAATCATGTGAAACAATTAGTCCGTGCTCAACCAAGTGATGTGCTCCAAATGACTAGCCCTTTTTGAAAAGTGTAAGCCCCTTCTATTTCTGCATCAGAAGTCTCCTGCTGGCACTGAAAATGGCTGGCATAATAAAACATTTCCTCCAAATATAGTAAAATGCATTATTTGAACTTTCCACTGGCATTAAATGAGGTCTGTCCTCCTATGTAAGTTGGTGACTCTACAGCTGCTTTGTAACCTGGACCATCTATGCTGGGTAAAACAGGCAAAGAGAAGTGGCTGCAGCAGCTGTATTTGCATACTAAAGGGAGTGGGCAAGCTTTTCCTGAATTTCCTGGCTTTTTTTGGGTTTTTTTTTTTTTTTTTTTTTTTTTTTGTCTTCTGCAGGCAGACGACCATCTGTCCTGGCAGTGTAAGTGCAGTCCTGGACTAGCTAGTATAGCTAAAGCCGTAGCCAAACAAAAACCCATCTAAGTGCTGATTTCTTGAAGAGAAAAGAAGTCTGATTAGTGTACAAGTTTTATTTTCTTTCTTTTGGAAGTATTTTTGCAGAGCTGAAAGGGAGAGTTCTTTACTCTATTGCTTGAGTAATGCTTTGAAGTTTGGTCCTTTGCCAAAAGCCTGTTGACAGTAAAATAAGTGGTGTTGGTGCTCACTGGCATCATGTATTACTTGGGGATCTTTAAAAGCTCTCTGAACAGCTTACCAAGACTTCATTAACATTTGCTTTCTATCTAAGTGAGGAAGAAATTATTACTGTGTCTTTTTTACGGGTGGCTAGGCAGCAGTAAGCAAGTTCAGTGATTTACCTGCCTCTTAGGGCACACTCCCCAGTCCCGGTAGAGATCCCAGGAGTCTGACAAAGAAGTCAGCTCTTTCTTTTTAACAACTGATCTGACATCATCTTATGTTGCCACCATTTCCATACCTTCTCATTGTTCATGTAGTATCTTTCTGGGAAAAATGAAGTGACGGATAACCTCAGAGTTTCATTTCACAGCTATTTCCTGTAGATGTAAATCAACATCAACCATTTTCCTATGGTTTATAGTTATTACTTCTTCCTCCCCCTCCAGTTTTAAAACGGGAGTTTTATCTGAGGTGTTGAGATTTCTCCTAGTCATGCTCTCACTAGCAGCCTTGATGAAGTGTCTAACCTTCTCTTTTCTTCTTGTCCTCAGGAAACCCGCTGACTGTGGCCTGCAAAGCTTTCTTTGGATTCAGTGGAGAATCAGGCCCCATGATCTACTGGATGAAAGGGGAAAAATTCATAGAAGAATTAGAAGGTCACATTAGAGAGGGCGAAGTCAGGTACTTTTCAGAGTATTTACTGTTAAAAACATGGTATATCCCAAAAGCCTGTTTTTTTTTTTAAAACAGGTTTTTAATTGGAAGTGGAAATAGTTTTTCTGTCTAAAGAGTGATGAATGACTTGGAACCAGGGCAGTGTGAGTTGCTCCCTCTCCTTTCTAGCAAATAAACTCTAAAGACATAGTAGCTATCTATGTGCCTGAAAATCCGTTATCAAATTCCCTTGATGGTAGCTGAAGCATCTGAGTGTTCTGGGGGTTGATTTTAGCCCTGTGTGGAAATGATGCTGTCCACTGCAGCTGCCCCTTGCGGCAGTCCTTGGCAAGATGACATTCATTTCAGCATCAGTGTTAATCTTGAAGACGAATGGTCTCCTGTCAAAGTCACCATACTTTTTCTCTTCTACAGAATGTGTTGTCTGCCTGTGATATAGCTCTCAGTATGCCTTAACCAGGGCTTTCAAAGCATTTTTTCTTCCATGCTTAACACTTAAGGGAGAGAAGAAAGTTGCTGTGTGAGGATGTCTGATACGCAACTTGTGCTTGTCTTGTTCCAGATGCTGGTTATCATTTGCTGTACCAGTTGTAAAGAAAACAAACAATTGTATCACCATGAACTTTCATGGAATTTGTACCTAACAGCATCTTCTTGTCTTCCTTGTTTAATAATTACCTGATTAATAGCTCTTTGAGCAAAGGCTAAGCTATGGTCATACTATGGACAAGGTGGTCCCAGCTCCTATAGACCCAATGAACATAGATTATAAAGAAAGCCAAGGTCTTTGCACCTTCCATTGTATATTTGGTTTGGTCTCGTTTCTGAGTTGTTTGTTTCTTGTAAAAGTGATTTTGGAGAGCAAGCAGAGAGATTCCTTTGCTTTATTACTTGATCAATAATTGAAGTTCAGCCATTTTAGCCACCAGTTATTAAGATGTACTAAAATAACTGACCTAGCATTGCACCTTAATTGCATACAGATGAAATTTATCATATATTTCTAGAATGGCTTTAGTACAATCCTCTTTTGGGTTTCTGACCACAAAATACAATTATTGGAAACTTCTGCCGTTGATAAGTAATCAGCATTTAACGGCATTGTGTCCTCTCTGGTGTATATATATGAACAGAGTGATTTCGGTCATGTTCTTCCTCTGCATCAGAAGGACAATTTGAGGTCTGTATTTAAAGAGCTCTCCAGCTCTAGCACAGCTCAAAACTTTTCTTTTATGTGCATTTGTTAGTGAGTTTGAAAAAGCTGTGTTTGTCCTTCATTGTGCCATCTCATTACACATTCATGTTTCAAATTAATTTTGTGACAACTCCCTTTTCTCACTCTGTTAAAATGCTTTGACTCAGTTTACAGACCTGTCACAGTTCAGTGAATCTTCTCTTCAGCAAAGCTACTTACTGCGTACCTAATCTCCTGTGCATCTCAGCCAGCATTAAAAACGTAGCATTTACCAAAACCTACTGCATCATTACCAGCAGTGCCACAGTCCATCCCTTTTTTCATTTAGAAGTAGCTATGGCAACTGCAGTAGTAACTTTTTGCAAATTATTTTTTTCACAGAAGCAGCTCTTGTTTATGTGTCCCATTACAGGTATGCTGCTTCAGAGAAACTGAGCAGCTCTAACTGTTCTGCCGGTGCCCTGAGCCAGCCCACATCTTCCACCCAGTCATACTAATTGATGTATTTCAAAAAATGTCATGTACATTCCAAATTTGATGAACCACAGTGAACTTGCTGGTTAGATGCTTTTCCCATCAGTTTGCTTCTATATGGTATTATCAGCACGTTTCTGACGTTTCTGCTAATGCTGACAAACTGCAAGTAATTGGGAATTGTTAACACCAGACCAAGATACTCTGTGGGTTGTTACTTTGGCAAAGAGCTAACATTTTAACTCTGCATCCCCTATCTAAAATTAGTTCACAAATTCAGTAGTACTCTGAATTTTTGGTGCTGTCCTTACCCTGGACTGCACCCATCTATTGTGTTGCTGGATTTGCTGTATATGATCAGTGTTCAGGTTTGCAGATCAGTGCAGTGTGGGCGTACAAAACATCCATCCCTGGTTTGCATCCTCTAGCATGCAAGGTTATCAGTTGATTAGTCTGCTTTTATGAAAGCACTGAAATAAGGATACACTTGACTTGAGCATTTCTTTTAAAATCAAATCTGTGGAACTGTTTTTTTTGGTAAGCAGACTTCACGAGTAACATATGTGGAGCTCTGGGCTTCTTGTTATTTATTAGACCGTCCTAATAAAAACTAATCAGCATTGCAGGACTCAGAGGTGATGACTCCTTCTCTAACCTGCCCCTTTGTCTTCCCTTGAATTAAGATCCCCAAAAGTTAGACATGCATAGGGGGAAGAGGAGAAAGAGACTTTGCTTGCCAGGTGGGGTTTTCACAGCAGTAATAAAAGTGTCGTGTAAATTGAACCAAGGCGATTAAAGAAGGGATCAGAGTCTTTAAGCCTGCCTGCAGAGTTGTCGGTTGTACAAAACTATCAAAGGAGCCCACAGCAAATTTCAGCACCATCTCTCTGCCGTGGCAAAGAAGTATTTTCAGGCATAAATCTTACTCTCCCAGCCACCTCTGAGTTACTTCTTTTTCTTCTGCAGGCAACACTGCAGAACAGTTTGCAGGTGCCTCATAATGCTCAACTTGTAGAGTGTGTTTGTAATTTATTTTTTTTTTATCTTCTCCATTTTTAAAGTGGAAATAGTTTAACTCATGCTTAGAAGCATGAAAAGAAGTGAATGGAGACATTTTGAATTGCAGCCTTATTTCTTCCCGCTGATTAATTTAACATTCTGCCTTTTCAACCCACAGTAGTCAACTGATGGTTGCAAAATGCTCAGACAAGATGAGGGTGTTGTATTCTGTTGGGGGGGATGCTGAGGAAGGGAGGCAGAATTATCATCACTGCCTGGCTAATGTGCTGGGTACTTTTCAGAGAAGTATGGAAATGGCAGCCCTCTCCCAAAAAACTTATACTATTCGCATAGACAATTTCTGGGCAGAGAATGAGAAATGTGGTGCAGGAAAGTCAGGGGGAAGATCGCCGTGCTGTGTTCTTAGTTGAACTACTTTTCTTTGCAGAGGTGCTTATGTACACACACATCTGTCCTTTCATCTACAGACTATTGTTAAGGACTAGAAGGGACTAGAGTTCGTATCCCTGTTCACAGTCCAGATCCTCAACGATATAAAGAATAAAAGTTTCCTTTTTGATAAGTTCCAACTTGCATGCAGGTTAGTAAAGGTGTGGAATTAATGCCTTAGTCTTGCAAAGAGGCCCAGCTGAAGCTTTCTTATGGCCTTTACATCTGTAATCATACAAAGCCTGAAAATTTTAGGAAAATGTTGTTTCAAAGAAAAAGTATTTTAACTTCAGATTCAACTTTGTGCATAAATGCATTGGAAAAATATGACAAAAGATATGAAAAATCTGAAACATTGGATATTTTTCAAAGAAAAGATTTGTCTTCTCAAATGTCACTTTCGTTTTTAGTTCACATTTTCTTAACTGAAAAATAATCAGTAGCCAAAATGTTTTGTTTCAGATGAAATAAAATGCTTCAGCTTGAACAAAAAGAAAGCACTGGGTATTTTTTTTTTTTTACTTCACCCACCTCTTCTCTCCCTCCCTCCATCCTGTTTGTTTGAAGTTGTCAAGCACTATTGATTTACCTATATATTAAATGATGTAATTACTCTTACAGTTTGTTCATCAAACCTCAAAAAAAGTGCCATTATTTTCTCAACTTGGAGCCACCGTGTATTGGCAGTGTTGCTGGCAAAGTTTCCCCCAACAGACATAGGGACAGAGCTTCATCTTCTGGGTGTGCAGCAAATACTGTTGCAGCTTTGAGGTCTTACTTCTTGATCTGTATTCCTTTTCTTCCTCCAAAATACTGTGCTTAGTGTTCTGCAAAAAAAAAAAAAAAAAAAAAAGCAATTAATTAAAGGCTGCACACTTATTAAAAAAGTGTAGGTGACCAACTGTGTATTTCTGTGCAATAATGAATCATTAGCAGTAGGGTACTGGTTAAAAGAAAAAAAAAGAGGGAAGAAAAGCATTAGGAATGAAAGGTTTACCACCACTAAGAGCTTTCTACACTTTGCTACAAGCAAAATGTTTACGTTTCTGTCAGCATTTTCATGATAGATCCCGTTCTAAAGAGTTCTCTTTCTAAAGATTGCAATTAGCATGAAAATAAGTGAAAAAAAATTCTCAGTCCAAATGCATATTCTTTTTTATGAAAGCTCCTTTTTAGTTGATCAGATATTATTTAAATTTAGGTTAAGGGTCAATTATTTTATTTTCAATAGATTCAGAATAATAGTTTATTTTCTCTTAATTGTAATCTTTCTTAAGTTTTTTTTCTGCGTAAAATATGCTGATTATAGAAAACACAAAACAACCTGAGCATTCACACAGTGCTCCAGATTAGTGTCCCAGATATCTTCTCTGTTAATGATTTTATTTTTTCCTTGCAGCATGATTTGTAGACCAAATTTTGTGGAGCATATTGTTTACCCACAGAGAAGAAAGACTTCCCTGAGTTTAAAATATTTTGCTATATATACATATGGACTATTAATAGGTAAATTAATAAGCAAAAAAAAAAAAAAGGTAAATGAGAATTGATTTCTCTGACCCCCAATGATTTAGGCTGATTTGAGTCTGCAAACAGATCAGACTCACTTGGGAGGTTTCTTTTCTGGCCAGAAACGATGTAAATTCAGCCTTTCATGCATCATTTTCAGCACTTGGACTCAGGGCCAGAATAAAAAAAAATGCAAAAATAGGCAATAAATGTGAGTGAATTTGCAAAAAAAAGATGCAATCCAAGTTTCCAAATGCAACACACATGCCTGTTCTTAAACTAGTTTTCCCACTTGCTTTTTTGCAAGTTACACAGCCATAGTGGAAAAGGCTGAGTGGTTGTGGATGCCCTGGTACATCTTCGGAGTTCTGTCAGATCACACCAGCCTTTAAAGTCTACGTGCTGCATGAAACCATACTGTAAATGTGTGGTTTATAGCCGTCAGGCTTGCATTTTTGATTGTCTGGTGCAATGCCTTCATACCTCACTTCTGATTTGTTTTCACATTTGGAGTTCCATGTTTGTTATATGAAATTATGTACATAAGAGAATGTGTATGCCCATTGGAAGCCCCAAAACAGCTTTGGTTTCTAACAGAGAAGTTTGAGGGTTGTTGTTACCAAAAAAAATTAAGCTCTCCAGAAGCAGTTCCCAGCCAGCACAAACAGCACTCTGGATAATAACTTTGTGCCCAATTGCCTCCCTTCAGTCTCTGGAGAAAATACTTCTTTTTTGGTGAACCTGGGTCTTATTTATACCTTTACCTCTTAGTGCCATACACTGTCTTTTTGGAGAAAAGACTCACTGAAGTACTACGTGCAACGGTGAGTTCACAGGCGACTGCGAGAGGGCATCACGTGTTTTATGTTTGCCCCCTTACACGTTGTGCAGCCATACGCTAACAGGATCAAATGAATCTGGAGGATTTACTTGACGTTACGTTTCCTTGTTCAGAGGACTGGTAACTTTGTCTTGAGCAACTGATAAGAAGCCTTTTGAGAGAATAGGGCATTGTATTTTTAGACTTAATGTCAGCATCAGAAAACACTCGCATTTACTTTGCATTCTTTTTAACGTTCACATTAGGACAATGACATGAAAAGACTGTACCTCTGGCCTGAAAGCCTGCTAGAACTTTCTATTCCCTTTGTGGGGACTTTGCATGTCTTCTCTGTCCTCTCAAAGGAGCAGAGAGCTCTTGTTCTTGACACTGTTCCCTTTTAAAGTCAGGATCTAGCCCCAAAAAATAGAGGAAAATTCCAGACAGTAGCACAGCTCCTTTCATTGGTTTTCCATACTGCATTAAAATGTATCACATTTAAAATACTGCCTTATCATTTGCTCAGTGATGGCTCAGTAGTGCGTATTTACTTCTCCGGAAAGTGAGTATTTTATAGGTTCTTTTAAAAGAAACATTGTGTTTAACATTTAATTCTGGTGGAGCCAAGGTGAACAAGCCACAACCACTGCACTCCTGGCCACTCCTCCTGCACTTGATTCAGCTCCTCGCTACAGACATGGTGGGGGAAAAAGGCTTTTGGTGTCATGGAAGATGTCTCTGTGAAATCCCTTTCAGGCAGCTCGAGTCTCCTTCTGAGTCCTTCTCGAGGAGTGGAGGAGCCCAGGAACACTGTGTATCTTGTGCTGTCAAATCATGGTTCTTCTGGGAATCTTCCACCCGTATTAATTCAGTTAAGCAAAGACTGTATCCTTCCTTTCAGACTCCTCAGAGAACATCTTGGAGAAAAAGAAGTTGAATTGACATTGATCTTTGATGCTGTAGAGGAGGCAGACCTGGCTAACTATACGTGTCATGTGGAAAACAGAAACGGACGGAAACATGCCAGTGTTCTTCTGCGCAAGAAAGGTAATTCTCTTCATTTAATTATCTGTACTCTCGCCTGCCTCAGCAGCAACAGTAGCAAAGGTCCTGCTGACCTCTCTGAGCCAGGCTGGACTCCTGTGTGCCTACTTGCAGCTGAAATATGTTCGTGTTACAGCTTCAGTTTACCATTTGTGAGAAAAAAATCATGAATTTTTCTTTAGTCTCTAGTGAATCAGCCTTGCAGGTGATGCACTTGCCTGCAATACAGTCACCCATAAAGCACTGTGGAAGTATTCTGGTCTAAACAACTTACAAGTTTGACCCAGAGTTGACACGCTAGACCAGAAGTAATTGTGTGATGGAGTTAAAATGTGCATTTCTTAGAACGGGTACCTCAGAGTGAGGTCAGATGTTCTCATATTTCTCCACTTGCTGGCTTTGCTGTTTAAACAGAAAGCTTTAAACAGTTGCCATGCATTTTGATTTCTGACTGCATTGGGAATGAAAACATTGCAATGGGAGCTACAAATCAATGGAGAATTACCCCGTCATGGTTGCTTTGCTCAGTACTGTACCTGGAATTGGGAATGCCACTACTGTCAAGTTATCTGTAGCAGAAAGGAAACCATTTGGGTTTGAATGTTCCAAATCAAAAGGTGCTACTATGCTCTGCTGTTTGTAGAAGTCGTTATCATAAGGAGTGTAACAGTATCTCATTACACTTCTTCTGTGGTTTGTTCAATCACCTCTCCCATTCATAACCAGGTTGACGTTTCAATTTGATGGTGATCTCTCTAAGGGTGTATTAGGTAGTACAAACAGTAACTGCTGGGAAAGCAAAGGAATGTTGTACGCTCGGGATAAAGACATCATGTGAAACCACAGGGCCATCGGCACAGGAGATTGACTGAAGAGTTAATACATTGTCCAGATCTCTGCCGTTATTCTTGGCTGTGAATTAATTTACCAAAAGAGGAGAAGAAATGTTTTCATGAGGGATGCCTGCAAGTGCTGTTCCAGTCCTTCGTGTGCTTTCAGACCACTAAGGCAAAGGATGTGCTTTCTCAGCAGATTGTGGATTGCAGTGTTAGTGTCAGTTAAAAGAGCCAGTGCTCTCCATCGTCACACTCGCAGCAAAGTCCCACAGAAGTGTCACCATTTGGAGAAGCTTTAAATACACTGTTAATACCTGAGTGTGCTGCAGATTGCCCTCTGAGCCTAGGGTAGACATCGCTGTGGGACAAATGAAATAAGAGGTGGAAGAACAGGAAGATCAGCCAAGGCCTTTCTAGATGCGGCACCACAGTTCCAGAAAACATCCATAAGTCATCAGTTCACCTAAAGGCATCCTGAATGCTCAGTGCTACGTTTCATGGCTATGATTTGTATAAAGTGAAAGGTGAGGGAGGGGTGGTATTGGAATAAAAAAGGGCTACTAGGAAGAGGAAACTTTTGGGTCAATGTCCTCTTTTTTTGCTATTCATTGATGTGACCTACAGGTTGTATGTGTGAAAGTACAGTATGCAGTCCTGTTACAATCAGTTGAATCAAGTCCTACTCACACAGTTTCCTCTATAGGTGAGAGCTTTATGTCCTCACAGAAAGAAGGGCATAGCATAGGTTGTATTTTACGCTAAGTGATAAGAATAAAACACAATATGGAAGGTGCAAACCACTCTGAGAAACAAGGGCCTGCGGTTGTGATGTGGAACACACACGAACGTATATTCAACATCTAAACTGACAGGATGTCACAGCTTTAATTAAGGAATCTGGTCATCATGATGAAGGATTAGCCTCTAGTGCAAAAAGCATTCCACCTTTCCATCCACTGAACCTAATAAATATACAACTGATAGTAAGTATATCTATGTTGACACTTAAATGTTCAGCTGTGTTGCATATATTAGAATAACAAGCTAGGTTTATTTATAACAAGAAAATGCAGACATTTCAGAGCACTGCTGAAATTATGGAAGAAGCACTGCTGAATACAGAATTTGGAGGTGGAAGGGATCACTTCTCAGCTACTATTTCATTTCTCTCTGCACTGTGGCTGTTGAAAGCTTATATTCCCCTCAGGCATTCTCAGTACTTGATTTTCAAGCTATTAAAGTGTCATTTAAAATAACCACAGTATTTTTACTGTGTCCTTTGACTGCCTGCCCCATTGTCCTGTTTGTTATTTATTAAGTTCTTACAAATACTTGACCAAACTTTTTCTTTCTGCAACTTGATATAATTACTTCTTATCCTAGCTTTTTCCAGCTTGGATTTGACTGTAGAGAAATACTACTGTATTTACTGACTTGTGACAAGGTTTAGGGCAGGACTGGTAGAAAGCTGTTGACCAGCATCCCTTGTGCATTTCAAAGAAGGGATCATGGATTCCTACTGCAATGTGCTGCAGCTTTCCAGGTGCTGGGGCACTTGGCAAAGGTGAAGAGGAAGCACAGATCTCTCAGCCAGAGAAATTCCCCTCCCCTCAAAGTCTTACCTGCAAAGGGCTTCGTTATCCCTGTTCGGCAAGAAGTCCTTGTAGCTCCATTTTGTCTCCCTGTTGTCACAGTGCTGTAGGTCATGTCTGCCCTCAGTTCAAAAGCGTGATTGCAGCACATGAGGTGTCCACAAGCTAGTGTAAGGCATGAGTCCTGCTAGACTAGGAAGGCTTGGATAAAAACCCCAAGAATAAACCCCAAATCCAAGTTATAGCTGTAGTATAAGTTTCTAGAGTTAGTTCTTGTTTTGACATCAGGTGGCTATTTTTAAGCACATGCTTTGCTTTAAGGAAGAAAAAGGAACTGTTAGAATATTTAAGGTAAAATATGTTGAAGTCTTTTGCTGTATTAGTGGTTCGGTCCTCACAAATGCTTTTGGAGAATACAGGAGTGCTGTCTGTGCAGCACCAGTGTACTGATAGCCCCAGAGCATGCATCATCATTTAGGCATTTTTTTATTTTTTTTTTAACTGAAAAAGAACCAAATCCAGTCTCAAACACCCAAAGCTACCAATGCAAAGACAGAATGAGGCACGCTCCTGAGACCTGAATGCCCGTCTGCTATCGCATTCTTCTTTACTGACTTAATGCAAGACCACGTTGTTATTTGCTTTCAAGTAGTTAAAAAAACCAGTTCTGGACAATCCTGGGTTTGCTTTTCTTTTTTTCTCCATGCTGTCCTAGCATGTTTCATGCTTAAATTACATGGAAACACAATATACACCCCCTCATCCCTCAGTTGTGGATATAGCACAGGATTCCCTTCAAATGAATATGAAAACAGCCCAGTATTTTAGTGACTGAAATCTACATAGTCTATAACATAACTCTTCTGGCACATGAATAACTTGTCAGGAACTGCAGAATAAAATCAAGCTGTGCTTTTAGTGGAAAGAAGCAGTGAATTTAGATAAAAGTAAATATTATAATGATGTTTGCTCACCATTTATTTCAAGGAGGCTGCCTTTATTCAAGGCATGCAGGAAACTAATTTGGGGTTTTTTTTGTTGCTGACATAGTATTAAATTAAATATATGTGTCTCATATATTGGGTGTTTATGAGACTTTTAGTATTTTAAAGACCATAATCCTCTGATGCATATTGGCTAAGTCCTTCTATATTATTTTACATTAGTAACTATCAGAATATTATTATTTACTAATTTTCAGTCACTGTTTTAGCACAAAGCCCAGATTCAACTCCTTTCTTAATGTTGGGTGTGCTACCTTCCCTGTTGACCTCAGTGGGGACCAGTTGAGGAGTAAGCCATTAATCAGAGGCAGAGACTAAGAGCTGGAATAAGCGAGAAAACTGAACATTCTGGGGTTTTCTCCATTGCCTCCACCTTGGAATGGAAATAGGGAGGCCAAAAGCCTTGGCTTTCTGCCTCCTTACATCTGGACTCTGAGTTTATGGGGCAGTAGGACAAACACAGAACATGCACAAGCAGATCAATTCTGTCTTTTGAGCTGGAGTCCGTGTTTTTGCTCGATACCCTGCCACTCCCCCAGCAAGTGAACACAAGTCTGTGCTCCTTTGTGGGCTGCAGGTGATCAAGGCTCAGCATTATCTCTCCTTCCAAGCTGGCAGCTTTGCCATCATCTCACTTTCCTAGCAAAAAAGTTTCAGTACAACACAAAGAAGAAAAATGTTTTTTCCCTGAAAAGTGATTTTAACCAACTCTGTTCACCATTTGACCCCCTTTATCCCCAGAGCATATGCTAACTTTATCATGCAGTGTCCCATGAATTCCCTATGTTCTCAGAGAGATTAAATAGCTATTATAATGGACTTTTTCCATGTATTAGTCCATGACTTCTTACCAGACAGACTTCAGAGATACTGTAAACTGGGAATAGCTTGACATCTGATGTTAATTATTGAAATACAAGGCATGGCAAGGCAAGAATAACCCCAAAAGATACACAAGTAATTTGCTTTTTATCTTGAAAATGACAAAAATTACATACCAGTAATTTTTTTCTGACCTAAGTTTTAGAAGTGTAAAGATCACAAAAACTTTGTTTTGCCTGTATTACAGTTTTTACATCTTCACGTTGTATTTATCACAGCAGCAAATATCTTCATGACGTCTTATCCAAACTAATATAGGCTGTTAGAGGTAGCTGTTGTCAAATTGTCATCTTTTGTCTTTTATGGCTAAGTAATATGCCAAGTGGTGTTATGAGCAATATTGCATTCAGAGGACATTTCAGGCTAAAGAGCAATACTGGTAAAGTTAGCGTCTTACATCAGATAGAGCACAGGACAGGTATTCAAGGTTTTTTATCCTGTTCTGGCAGTGGTTTGCTGAATGACCTGGAACATGTTGCTTCACTCTTCTATGCCTCTGCTTCCTCAGCTGTAAAAGATGGATAATTGCATTTGGATGAATTTGTGAAGTTCTTTGAGGCAGACTGCTTGTGATACATCCTAACATAAGCATCCCAGTAGGAAATTTTAACTATCACTAGTTCCCATTAAAGTATAATGTGTAGTAAACAAACATGTGAGAACTCCGTTAGTAGCCATCACAACTCAAACAAAGTGGCTCTTATCAGCCTGATGTGTGCTCCTGGCTTCTCACGTTGTCTTGTGCATTCTGTATGCTCAGTTCATTCTCCAGTGACTCAGCTGAAGTCCTGGCTTGGCAGGTCACATCAGCTCATCCACTGGCTTCACAAATACAAAACCAAAGCTTAATGTTATCTGGGGGACTACAGCCTCCCAAATGGGGTACAATATGTCTGGTATATCTATCTGCATGTGCTGCATACAGCGTTTGATGCACTCTGCCAATACAGAAGTTTCAAACTCCACAAGCTCATTAGAAGTTGATTAATCCTCCATGTAAAATCACTACATAATTCCCTTGTACAAGAATTATGTTTATAGCCTTAAATGCATTCTGGATAGCGATTTCAGATGGGCAGTAGATGGAGTAAATGGGTAAAGTTAAGTAATAGGTAATGAAAAAAAAAATTAGGCATCTTTAATGTTACAGTGTTTATAATTGGAAGCTGAACAATTTTATGTGGAATTGTACAGAGGATTAGAGCAAATAAAGCTCGGAAAGATCATAACCTTTTTGTCTTTCCTTGCTAATTTTAGATTTGATCTACAAAATAGAGCTTGCTGGAGGACTGGGAGCCATCCTTCTTCTGCTTATTTTGCTCGTGACCATCTATAAGTGCTACAACATAGAGTTAATGCTGTTCTACAGACAGAACTTTGGAGGAGACGAAGCAGCTGATGGTAAGCAGTTGCTCAGGAAACTCAATATATGCAATGGAAACATTTCAGAGACCCAAAGTGATGAAATTTCTAGATTGAAATTAATCCCAAAATGTACCTGCTGCCAGTTCAAGTTCAAACTGCTAAGCACCCAACAGTGCCAAGCCGTAAGAAACCAGTGAGTCTTTTCACTGCAATGTCACTGGACCATGCCATAAGCAAATGGGAGTCAGAAGAATCGTTCATGAGTGTTATGGAGGATTGAATGTCATTTGTGACCTCATTCCTCAGGAGACCTCTTCACGTTCACATGTCCCAGTGCCACGCATGCCCAAGATCACCTCTCGTGAGATCCATACTGTATGTGGGCAGCCCTTTCACTGGGTATTTTTCATTAAACATTTCCATTGAATTGTCTTCAGGCTTCCAACTAACTCCAGCGCTAGTGAGGGGCAATTGTTATTGAGGCTAACTGGCTACCCCAGTTGATTGGGAGACTGTAAACAACTTAGTGGAAATTGCTCCTATGAAGCTGGAGTGAGCCCTAGTAAACTAAATCCAAGTGCTTCAAATCCTATTATTATATTCTTAACACTTCTATTAATATGTTATTAATATGCATGTAACTAATAATCTGCTAAAGATCTGAAGTTCAGTATTCAAGTACAGGTACTTTTCATAGCCCACTGCAGCACTTATGAGTCACGTAGGCAGTGTGGAATGGTACATGTGGAACAATGATGTATTTGAAAAATGAGCAGGGAACCCATTTCCCCATTGTGCCAAAACAATGCGCAGTCGCACAGACCTGTTACTTTCTGCAGTTAGCATTGCTGTTATCAAAATAGTAAGTGTTTCTGATTAACACGGGGTAGATACAGTGTGAGAATGTTTTGCTACAATGAAATCCATAGGAGTTTTGGAGAATGGGTGGAATGACATCCAGGGAAATTTAGAATGTGGAATGGTAAATAGCAGGAATAGAGGTCAGGAAAATTCCTCTGTCTCGGTCTTCATGTGTGAGTGGGAAAACTAAAATGATGCTTTTTTCATACTATACAATATGGCACAATATTTGTACTGATCCCTAGGAGAAAGTGAAGGGTGAGATTATGTGGGTTTGGAAGTAATTTACCTCTAACACCCTGGGAGTATACCAACATAACATCCCTGGTTCGCACCAATACAAAGTGATCCAAAGTGATAATTTCCTCCAGGTTGCCTTGATTCATTTATCTCATGTTTTCTGTGTGAAGCTGCTGCATTTTTATTCATGTCACCTCCTTGGTTCAATCACATTTTAATTTATGAAACAATATTATTTTCTACTTGTTTAGAGGAAGCCCCATGAGTACATAGGGGATTTTGTGTGCATATAATTCTGAAAACAACCTTTTATTTTTCCAGTGCATGATTTTGGAACCGTTGCAGCTTTGTGTCTTATTCAGATCCTGCAGAGTGAAAGATGGGGGCAGAACATTACTGAAGTCGAAGCTTATATGGGGATGTTTCCTTCTACTTGTGTAGGCTATAGTGGGAACATACAGAGCTCCCATGAGCAGTCAGCTGTATAGATGCAACTGCATGGTCATTTTCCATTTATGCATGTATTTCTTTAAAATAGAAGATTTGGAGCTCAACAGATTTGCTTTATTCCCATTTCTAAAAATATCCCATGTAAGCAATGTTGGATGCATTCACTTCCTGTGCATTTTTTTTTTTATTCCTGCATATTTTTTTAATTCCTGTGCATTGTTTTTAGAGAAAATTATACTGGGGATTAAGGGAAGCCATTTAGAAAATGGCTGCAGACAGTGCTGTATGCGAAGCACACAGAGCAAGCGGTGGGCAAGCATGCATAGGTCCTTCTGCTATCTCCTGTGTACATGAAGCTTGTGAAGAGGGAGTCGAGGCCATAGACATGTAACACAAAGATACAGCCTCACAGGAGCCTGGGGGAACTGGTTCTGTCTACATCTCGCTTGCTGGGATTGCGAATAGAGGTGGCTGGAGGGGGCAGCTGTGCCCGCGCAGCTGGAAGGGGCCAGCAGCTCAGGGACTGCTGGCACACAGTCCGTGGTGCTTCCTAACCAGGCGTGTCAGCACTCTGGGCTTTGCTTTGCTGCCTTTGCAGAGTTCTCAAATGTTTGCAGTGATGTTTGCCTCCCAGATCACTTGGTGGCTGGCTTCTCTTAAAAGGTTTTGGCAGGCTTCATTACGGACAGGGTAGAAGGTTTTGGACAGGTCTCCAAAGCTGACTGGCCTTTATTTCTTTGCTCTTTGTTCTTCTGTCATCTTTCCATCAGTAACTACTATTTTTGTATGCTGGTGATTTCAGAGCAATATCAGCAAGCCAGGTGGACATCCTCCCATACAGCTACAGTGACACTAGGCAAATTGCCTTTTATAAACGTATAATTATTCACATGCTTTGTCTGTAGCTCTGACCCTCATGGCTCTGGCGTTGTGTCAAGAATTATAAGAAAGTAACCATCATTTCAAGGTCATCAAGGAATGTATTGTATTATGATTACCTTTTTTTTTTTTCTTTTTATCAGAATATATTGATGATTTTTAACTGCCTTAATTATCTTTCATGCGCGCTATTCTTTACAGATAATTGGTGCTCAAAAATCCTCCATTCATGCAATTTTGTCCTCACAACATTAACTATTTGATTTTTCATTTTCTGTAAATAATGGCAGCTGTGCTCTTCCCTGGAGAATGAATTGCTGAAGGTTGACTTTTTCAATATACTATTTTCCATTACTGCAGAGGAATAGCAAAGAGAAATGTCACTAAGACAGTCTGATCCCAGCATGGAGCCCAAGCGCGACAGTGATGCCACTTCTGTTCCTGGCACAGTCGCCAGCTCTTAGCTCCGTGTTTCAGATGCAGAGAGCTGGAGGCAAGCCCCAGTGCTGTGCAGGAGGAGGAGGAGGTGTGAGGCCCTTTCTGGCCAAATCGCTGTCCTCATGCGGTGCTGCCCGGGTCCCCTCTGGCACCCACTGCCTGCCTCCACCTTTTCATAGAATTATAGAATCATTTAGGTTGCAAAAGACCCTTAAGATCATTGAGTCCAACCGTTAACCTAACCCTGCCGTCCCACCACTAAACCATGTCCCTAAGCACCTCGTCTGCCTGGCTTTCAAATACCTCCAGGGGTGGGGACACGACCCCTTCCCTAGGCAGCCCCGTCCAGTGCTTGACAGCCCTTTCGGGGAAGAAATTTTTCCTAATGTCCAATCTAAACCTGCCCTGGCGCATCATTTAGCTTGGGAAAGATACACTCATATTTAGCATTTTGCATCACACACCACTACTTTATACATAGTTTTACATATCTATTCCACACACAGCAACTCTGCCAGTCCTTTTAACACATCCTCCATGCTTCTTCTGCTCCACCAAGCATTAGCACTGCAGGATCAGGACATCCCATACGCCCACAGCACAGATGAGGCTTTGCCTCCACCCCTGAGCTGCAGGCAGATGGAGGGGCAAGTCTCCCTCTGCGCGCCATTTGCTCTTGGGATTACTTCTCTCTCTTGTACTGCGAGCCCCAAGTATTTAAAATATCCTGGATCAAGTGACCCCTAAAATTATGATACTGGTTTTAAAAACTACAACATTTTCTGAAAAAATGCTTTGGACTGTTTGTATTTGTCACTGTTTTCTGCATAGTCAGCATTCATTTGAGTTAAGTCATGTGTTTTCTCACAATTACTTGTGCAAGGAAATTTTCCTTGCTCAAAACTTTTTCCAGGCTCAAAAACTTTTCCAAGCTTTTCCTTTCTCATAAACATAACACCCTTGAGGCACAGGAGTTGAAAGATTTACATTAGCAATATGTAAAGGATTAAAATAAAAAGTTCCAGCTTTAGTATTTGTATCAAAATTTTTCCCACAATCTTTTCAAATCTGAAACGTGTACACTGACCACCTAAAACAGAGTTATGAACTAGCTCAACAAGCAGAAGAAAATTGAAAGGATGTCCTTTGCCTGGATCTGAAATATTTATCTGTGGAAGCCAGGTTATATGTTCCTGAGAAAAGTCCCAGTTTTGTTGGGAATTGCTTGATCGTTTCAAGGCATAATACTATTTCCTAGTACTTTCCTGTGTTCTTCATAGTGCTCTTGCGAACAGCAGGCTGAACGTGAATTTGTTTTCTTGCAGACAACAAGGAATATGATGCATATCTTTCATATACCAAAGTGGATCCTGATGCGTTAGATTGTGATAATAATGAAGAGGAGCAGTTTGCACTTGAAATTCTGCCCGATGTTCTAGAAAAGCACTATGGATATAAGCTCTTCATCCCAGATAGGGACCTGATCCCTAGTGGAAGTAAGTATTTCTGACCTTTCAGTTTTAATTCTCTCTGATGTGTCATGAAGGCCTGGACTGTGCGATAAGTGCTAGATGTGGGAAACCTCTCTTTGTGAAGTAGTTGTGAGGATTGGAAAAGTTTCCTCGGTGCTGCAAATTTGAGCTCTAGGTTAGAGCTTGTTCCTGCACCACTGAAATCAGTGGGAACTGCCACTGATTTCAGTGGGGGCGGGAGCTGGCCCTTCCCACAGGGAAGGCTGCAGTGCTGGAAGCAATGCTGTAGTCCAAAACCTCTACTTCAGACACAGGTAGCTAAGCAGGAAACCTCCAAAAAAGACTTTGTAGTCTCTGTTTTATCATTGAAAATGGGATAATTATTTTTTTCCAGTAATTATGTGTTTTTCTACAGCAGCTTTGCAAGTAAAAGTCATCTTTCCCATTGTCTTTTGGGCTTTTTTCCAACTTCAAAGTCTTATAAATAGCTGCAGTAGTTTCACAGTTAATGGTAAAGGTGCAATTTTTTCATTAGAGTTTTGACCAAATGTTGCATTTCTGAGCAGTGTTGATATTGTATAAGCAATTGGTGTTGTGTAAGTAATGCTAATTCTCAGAGGACTGTGTATATCCCACTGATCCAATGCTGTTTTCCATGCTGACGGTGAAATACAGTTGTTCATTTCAAATCGGTTTTGCTGCCATATCTGAAGATTCAGCAGCACCTTTGGATGACTGTACCAACAGTTAATGCCTTCCTAGATGTAGTTATGGCATCTCTTCTTCCAGATTAATTTTTGGACAAGTCAGAAAAGACCATGAATCATACACACCATGTTGATGAATTTTGAACGCACAGTATGTTTGCCTTAATATCACATTTATTTGAAATGCTACCCTTGTGAACAATAAGCTTTTTTTATGAATTCTGTCTGTAAATCACTTCCATGAAAAATATTAGAAAAGTATATGAACTTATCTCTGTATATGCTACTGTATACAAAATATGAACAAGAAAACAAAGCAATGGCTGTGGTGGAGCAGATGTCCCCAAACATGAAACAGCTAGAACGTGGCTGCATTAGCAACCTGCCTGCCAAAAGACTTGAAACCACTGCCTTGCTGCTGCCAAACCCCAGTGCCTGCCCCAGAAGTTGGATCCTACTTCTTCTCTGACATTTGAGGGAGCTGGAGAGAGAGCTCTGAATCCTGTAACATTGGGAAAGAGGAATCAGAGTCTTAGTCAGAGATCATGCAAAATCCCGTGTAAAGGCTTGAAAGTACCACGTGCATTTGCAGAGCTTCCCCTGTTCCTTTTGTCCTGACCCTGCCAGGTGTGAGTTTTACTCCTTTAGTGACGTATTCCAGAAAGGGGACTTGGCTCATAGCCTTCTTTCTGACAGCAGGAAGTAGTACTGAATTTTTAGATATTATTAAGAGAAAATACATATTTTTGTGTTAAAAATCACAGAACTGTTGTGAATAGTTGTTTCATATCTGACAATATAGCCGAGTTATACATAGCAATTTTACAAGTGAATTAAAGAGTTTAAAGGTAGCTCTTCAATAACTATACTGAAGCACAGATTAATCTGAAATTAGGTTCTTCTTTCCAATTGCTCTATCAGCCAGTATGGTATTTTATTTTTGTCTATTTTTGTCAGTCAGACACTCAGCAAATACTTGTCATTGCTTTGGGTATTCATTAAACCTCTTCTGAAAATGTAGGGTACCTGAAAATGTCAGTTCTCATTTATGAACATTCACAGATTTAATACTTCTTTTTTCCTCTCAAACTCACTTCTTCAGTATTATGAAAGGGCCTGATTCTAACACATGGAGCTTCAAGAACGCTTAATCAGACATAATAACAATGCAGAATAAAATGTAGAACTGAAACGAGTGTGATTTGCATGCTTTAGCTTTGAAAAAGATGTGAGGGAAGGCACTTTATTTTGAGGGGGCAAGAGGGAGGGAGAGGCGATGGGGAAGGAAGGAAGACTCAGACTCCTCTATTTGTAAGCTCCTCCGTGTGCGCTGGAGAAGTGGAACGTGGCTGTGTTCTGCCTAATGCTCCCCAGCCTTACGAGGACTTGCAGTGCTTAGCGAAGAGAGCAGGCAGTGTGGTGTGGCATGGACCCGCTAGAAACTTCAGAGGTAAAGGTAACATATTTTAGAGTGACTGTCTCAAAAAGTGGCAGGTATAACAAAATATATAGCTCTTCAGGGTAGATTTCGATAGAAAAATGGGGGGTTGATCACAGTTATCTTTTTTATTTTAGGAAATCTCTCTTCTCACATGTACTGCATTTCCTTGTCTTTTGGTGTAAATGACTTTCAGTGTAATGTAATGCTTTCCCACTCTCCATTCCGATGTGTTTCCTTCTGTATCTTGTGTACTTAAATATGTGCCATTCCGCTAGTACAGCAAATAAGGTGTGTTTTGTAAGGCTGGTTGTTTCATATAATCTCTGCAATTTTAAGGTGCTGCCACAGGAGGGTGTGCATTATTGCGCTTGCTTCCTGGCGTGAAGCAATACATACAGCTGCTGCTTGGATTGCAGCAAGCAAAAGAATAGATTTGTTAAATAGTATTTCATTAACTTTCTTGCACACTTCTCTGAACAAACTAAAAAGCTGACTTCAGAAAAGTTCAGGGACAAGTTTGATTGTGTTTTTGTCCAGCTGGTTCATCTCTAACCTCTGGAGAAAAGCTATGATAGGCTCTGCATGTCCCTGTGCAGCTGAGGGAGAGATTACAGCCAGATGTGCCTTAGCTGGGATGCACGCACCCAGCAGCGAGCTCCTTCGCACTGCATATCTGAGTTCTGCGTTTTGGCTCTGCGCTGAGGACCGTCTCTTTCAGGGATGCCCATGGAGTGAGTACTGCTGTCCCTAGGAGGACAGAGGTGATGGCTGTGGGGACTGAGGCCACCTCTTCACTGTTGGGAAGCAGATCCCTGGTATCCAGAGTTCAGGTCGGATGGGGCTGTCTTGTTTTGCAGTAGGTGTTGGTTTCTGTGCCCTGACAGGGTACACATGTTATCCCAGTGGAGTGTTTTGTCCTTGTGGGAGAACCACTGTGAAGGATGTTGAGGGCCTTGGTGATGCCCACCTCGTGGCGGCCAGCAAGGACCTTTGCAGTGACTCTGGGTGCTGCCTGAGAGCAGCACAGATGGACCTGGCTCCCTGAACTGGCGAGGTGGAAACAGGGCCCCAGCAGCCACTGCTTCTCTGCTCTGCTCACGCAGAAGCCCACGTGGCCATGCAGGCTGGAAGGTGAGAGGGGCGACACGGCAGGGAGACATGACATGCAGTCTGCTGTGTGAGCAGCAAGACCAACTTGGTAACCAAGGATTTGAGTCTCATGTTATAGGAAGTACTATAGCAGCTGTTCCTTCTTAGAGAATATTCTTTGGTCCTAACAGAGCGAGTGTTCTTCATTCTGTCAAAGCTGACAGCACATACAGCTTTCTGCCGTGGTAACTAAGGCATAATTGAACATGTTAGCCTGCACAAGGAGACTGGGAGCCCTAAGATACAGTCACAGTTGTCAAAGTTTCTTAGCAGTTATCATTTTTTCCACCCTCTTAGTTTTCAGGGCTTTTTTAACAAACCCTTTCCCACAGCATGCAGACTCTCAAGCCCTGTGAGCTTCTAATTCAGTGTTAGGAGACCTGAGGAGACTGAATGGTTGGGGGTGGGGAAGTAGGAATACTTATGTTTTTACCTGATCCATTTTCTATTTTGCTAAGGATGGCGTGTCTACAGAGAGAGAAAGATCTATTTGCACTTGACTTTCCTAAAATTGGGACTACATCAGAGGAAGATATTTTTCTCACATGGTTTCTGCAAATGATTTTAAACCCTGAAAATGAAGAGGTCAAAACTGTCAAGTTGGATGTTTAATACCAGCAGTACAGATCTATTAGAGCATCATCTAGTTGCTCTCTAAGCATATGTGATTTGATCCTGACAGGACTGAAAAAACACCAGCAATTCGCTCCAGCTCAGCCCAGGGTGTAGAGATCAGGCACTGAAAAGAACAGCGGTGATGGAACAAATATCTTCGCTTTTACCTGAAAAATGAGAGGTTAGCAGCACAACAGGAGGGCACCCGAGGCATGTGATAAAAAGCACCCAAAAGTCAATATTGCAGTTCTGGCACTTTGTAGTTTTGTCTGCCCATCTGTGTGGGTTTTACCTGGTGAATTGTAGCTTCCTGGGTTCCTGGATGAAGAAAACCCGGTTGGACTGTGTGCCTGGGGTTCCCAAGGAGCCTTAATTAGGTATGGGACACCATTTATGCGGAATGGCAATAGAGGACCCAGCTTCACAAACTCCTTTCAGAAGTCGCTGCTTGTCTACTCTGTATGAATCTTACACTTAATGCCAGGCATGTGTGGGGGTAGCGGGGATACAGAAGAATGAAAGTGGAAAGTCAAAGAAATGTGAACAAAAGCCAGAAAGGCTGGCTACCCTGTTACAGCCCACTGAAGGCCACCAAGGTGGTCAGGGAGCTGGAGCACACAGTACAAGAGGAGACCCCAAAAGAACTGTGTTTCTTGAAGAAAAGGCCAACAAAGCCAAAGCCAAAGAGGAATCTTATTGTTGTCTTTCCAGTGGAAAGCACAAAGATGGAGGCAGCCTCTTCTCAGAAGTGCACAGTGTTGAACAAGAGGCCACAAGTATGAGTTGCAACACTGAAAATTCCATTTAAACATTTGGAAAATTTTCCTTGCTGTGAGCATGGTCAAGCACTAGAACAGAACCCAGAGACACTGAGAAGGAACCTCCAACCTTGGAGGTCACCAAAACTGTACTGGACAAGGCCCTGAGCAATCTTAGCTGGTCCTGGTTTGAGCAGGGTATTGACCTGGAGACCTCCAGAGCCCCATTCTAACTTGCATGAGTCTGAATCTTTGATTCTAAATATCCAGAAGTTTGATTCCAATATCTGTTGCCAAAATAATTTCACCAAAATCACCCACTTCAGACTCTTCAGTCTGCAAGGAGACATGCCC